GAAGTCAACTTTGAAGGCTCGAAACCCCAAAGTGAAGTAATTTACACTTCCAGTTGACGTCGCCTCCRTAGATTTTGCAAATCTTAAAGTCTCTAAAAATAGGACAACCAGAACATGAAAGCAGTTGACCTAATCATTTGACTTCCTATTGTATCGAGTGTCATCATTACGTTCGTGTTCTATCCTCTAAAACTTATTCCGGACGAGACCCCTTAACYGTGTATCCTTTCAGGGGTCCAGCATTGTTTTGCGCTCGAGATATGTGTCCCATGAGTGAGAGTGACGAAGCGGGGAAAGTTGGGCTTGCTTTGTAGAGACCATTCACAATGTCATAATGTTAAAACTAGGTAATTTAGCCCTCTTAACAAGCAAGTGTTTCGAAAATGCAGAAAGCTATTCTATTTAGCTAAAGACAGTAAATTACTCACCATGCATACTTTTCAAAAAAGATGTAAAAAACACTTAAAATCGATCAAAACCATGGGCTATAGTCCATGCTTTTTGGCCAAAATGACCTGTTTTGGACTTGTGAATAATGCAAAATTTTGTCCCTATTAGCCAGATGTCAACGCATGCATGGGAGGGAGGCATGATCATAAAAACAAAGTTACAGCTTTCCCTATTCGCGCTGGGAATTTTACTATTTGCCAGTATTTCAATGACATCATCGGAGAAAACAAACATTTACAAGGGCACGTGACTATGAATTGTCATTGAACGACTTGTCGGTTAACGTCCATCAAAACCTACTTATAAGTGTCACGTCCGACAATCGGTACGAAAAAATTTACGTGACAAGACTGAGGARAAACATATTTCATACCGGAATGGACAACCGAGGGATGTTCCTATTTACTTGCTTTTTTACTTCCTGTTGACATCTCTCCCTAAAGAGACGTGCTTCCTGTCACGATTCCTTGTCTATAAATACCATAAACTTAGAATATTACTKAAAAGTATTTTGTGGAYGCTTCCTWCAAGAAGGTGCAGCWAGAGTAAAATTTGACTTTACAATCAGGAATCAAACRACAYGAAGATGTATAAGATAACTGTGCTTTTGGTGGTGGTAGGTCTTTCGGCGAGTCTATGGTCAACGTGTATTTCCGCAAGATGTCGTAAGTACTACACATACAGWCACACAAATGTTGGATTGATATGTATTTCTGAGTTAGGGAATTTTTAGAAACAATATAACGGTAATTTTGAATGAAGAAAATAACTTCACATCGTATTGAACCATGATACAATTTCTGGGCTGATCAAAGTCAGAACGACTAAGTCAMAGATTGAATTTGAATTTRCRAAGGTARAAATACCGGTAAATCATCAAAAGAAAAATAAACGGTAAAATCTGCGAATCAAGGTCGAGACCTAACACTGATAAACTCTACTCACATGTYATGTCGAGTCACCGAATAAACACTGAACACGGATATGGGGCCAGAAACAGGTAGAGAGATGAGAAGAGAGAGTGCACTACCACTGCGCCAATCTTGACTGATTCCCTTTGATTTCATATATTTTCAAATGCTCCAGTTTGCATCAATTCTATGTTGCTCAGTGTTAGTCTTGATTTTGTGAAGAMTATTTATGTATTCCCGGCCAGTGAAYGTCGGTATAATTCAAGGCTAAGTAAATTATTCCATAGTCAAAGAACATAGCGGTAATTTAGAAATTCGAAAAAGAAAATTTACCATGTTGTCCTTCGCTATAGTTTCCTGTACACCAGGATGGGTGACCTACAAGGGCTCAAGTTCCTGTTACCGAGCGGGCACCACGCCAACGACCAAATGGAACGAAGCAAGRAAAGCGTGTATATCCATGGGAGGTGACTTGGTGAAGATCACGTCAGCTCAAGTTAAYAAATACGTGGCTGGTCTTGCTCGTACTTACTCAAGTAGAAATAGTCTCATGTGGATGGGGCTTGTTGGAGGTAAAGCCCCGTTTACACTAGCGATTTTTGCAGCGATTTTTGCTGCGATTTTTTTTGCGATTTTGTCCATAATAAATAATGTTAAAGAATTTACTTGTAAAGATTTTTCAGGATGCCAAGATTTTCCCTAGACGAATGTCACTTTTGAAGGAGGAGACAACAGATTTCATATTTCCGAAAATTGCCACAAAAATCGCAGCAAAAATCGCCGCGAAAATCGCCAGTGTAAACGGGGCTTAATAGATGTGTAGAGATTCAACGGTTTAAATTCGTAGCCGTATCTACGCGTTGTGATGATTTATTTAATCGAAGATAATGGAAAGCCAGGCATTTCAATTTTGCGTCAAATGCTGTAAACACCAAATTGAAAAAAAAAGTTCTTGGGTTCAAAAGGTTAAATCAACGAGGCATTTTCTCTAATTTCGTTCCCAGTACTCTTATTTCTCAATGCGCATGCTCCTCGACGAAATAATTTATTTCGTCGAACATACGCCGAAAGAAAAAAACGAGATTTAAAGAAACGTAGACTCTTCCACAGTCTCTCGCTCGTCCGTTCCGTCTCCACGCTTAGAGACTGTAACGGTACAATGACCGAAAGGACTTATGGGTCCCGAAAACATGGACCCAGCGTGCTTTGGGAACCAAAATACTCGTCCACAGTCTCTCTCGTTTTCGCTGCCATCTTGAAAATATTGAAACGAGAGAGACTGTGGACGTGTATTTTGGTTCCCAAAGCACGCTGGGTCCAATTTTTTTGGGACCCATAAGTCCTTTCGGTCATTGTACCGTTACAGTCTCTAAGCGTGGAGACGGAACGGACGAGCGAGAGACTGTGGAAGAGTCTAAAGGAAACGCTGAAATGTGCGCATGTGCAAAAGTTGTCTCTTCAATCACGACGGGCATTCTTTCTTCTAGATTCGAACCAAAGGTACRCATGGGTGGACGGCACTTCCTTGTCCAGCCAGCGGTACACCAACTGGAACACAGGCGAACCTAACAACTACAATGGACTAGCTGAAGACTGCGGAATGATGTACCTAAGTAGTATGAAATGGAATGATGCTGTATGTAACCATCACATTGCGATGACTTACGTGTGCGAGAAAGATAAAACAAACTAGATGGTGTACCCAGAATAATAATTGCCAACGAAGTTTTGAGTTTGTTAGCGAAGTGCGTTTTTATTGTTTTTCGTTTTTTGCTTTTGTTTTTGTTTTTTTGTTTTTTTTGTTTTTGGTTCTAAACAGGTTTTTAGAGGTAGTGTGCATTGTTTTGGTACTGGTTTTGAAATAAATGTATCTTCAAACGAAGTTAGTCTCGTTTTTAAGGCCCGTGCTGTTTTTTAGGCGTAGGAACAGCTATCTCTTATTGGTTAATAACTTGATCGAACTACGCGATTTCTTCCAATGACGTGGCGCGACGTCATACATACTTTTATAGAAAAAATCTAGATGATCAATTCAGTAATTCCTCAACTTTTTTACTTCGTTGGCACATTCAGACTCCCTTTTTAATAAGAAAAAACACTGTCTCGATCCCGTTACTGATAAGTATGACTAGTAAAATATATTACGGAAAGATAAGAGCTTGTAGTGGAACTCCTTTATTGCTTTCCCAAATATGTCGTAACACTGACATGGCAAAAMCAACACGAATAACAAAACCTGGATTCAACATTAAATAAATTTTTCAGAATTTGACCAAGAACATCCCTTTTTATTGCGCCCTGAAAAGAATGGAATATTGTAGAGTTAAAGCAAGGCCCGGCTTGTTTAACAGATTTTAAAACCAGTATTTACTAAAGCGAGGAATGCATATTTATAGCGGCGAGGGCGCTCCCGGTAGTCCCGAACGATTCTCTCCTGTGCTTCAACGGATTTTCCTCCCTCCCCATAAATCCGCGAGAAGCAGAAAGCGTATATCAAGGAAAAAAAAAATTTTTAAATCACTTATATGTGAATAGTGTAGTAGTATGGTTGCAGTATTTTTGTATGTCAATTTTCTTTTAGGAGATATAAAATATCAATATGCAAATGAGATGACGTCAATTCAAGAATAATTAATTATACAAAAATGCTGTTGTGGAAAGTACTGCTGTTTTTTCATTTGTAAATTATTCTTATAACTGATATATATCTTTGTACACTTTTAGGTTACTTCACTTCAGAACACTTGTCGTATATTACACTGCAAAATGTAACCCATTCTTGAATTTACGTCATCTCATTTGCATATTGATATTTCAAATGTTTATATCTCTGAAAAGAGAAGTCCACATACAAAAATACTGCAGCCATACTACTACACTGTTCACATATAAGGGATTTTGAAAATAATTTTTTCCCTTGATATAGACTTTAAGAAGCTACTTCTGTTGACGACTGTTCAAACTCCAGTGTATGCGGGCTTAACCTCGAATCCAGAAGTTGCTTGTTTTGTTATTTTTAATTTCTGCTTTTGATTACCGACCACAGAGGTGAGACTAAGCCCGCATACACTGGAATTTTTAGAGTCGTCCATTCTTTAATGAAAATTAACAAACTCGTTAATAATTCATGAGGAAAACAAAATAGAATTCACGACCGTGAAGAGTKTTATAACTGATATAGAATTATGTTCAGTTAGATAAAAATAGAGRTAGCCCCTATTTACCTCGAGCGTAATGTTTCCAATTTCAGACCACGTGTCATTCTCTTAAGAATACAATTATTTCTGTGAGCTGTATCGTGT